CGGATCGTCAGAGCCCTTGAGGAGGCTCAGTCGAATCGACTTCTTGTTTGGATCTTTTTCGTCAGTTCGATGTAATGCGACATGGTCCACTCATTCTCGATGGGAATTCAGGTCAGCAAGCAGCTGGAGATCTGTCCGCGCTAGATTTTTGCTACTATCTGTTGTTATTGCCGTTGTATTGATTGTATTAAATCACAGTAAGTTCAACGATTCTGAACGACGCGACAATGACAAGAGAAAAGTCACTCATCTTCAGATGTCATTTTCGTCTGAATCTACTAAAGGACAAACAAATACTCTTACACACAGTTCTATGTATATATTATAGTAGCAGTTTGTATTTGTTGTTATGGCGAGAACCATCTTTATTAACCATTAGACAGACGGACACAAATATACTAATGGTACAAATAGAATAAACGTTTGAAACAAGTTCGCCCGTATAATGTATATATAATTATAGTGTGATAGCTAAATCTATACTGCACATACCCTTCTATTTCTAGTCACGTAACCGGCCTTGCATTGTGGGCCGTCACCTTTCAAACAGACAAGTCAAGACAGCTCAGCTCTGTATATTAGTGGAACTGTATAGTCACAGTAATGTAATGGTGGGTTGGTTTGGTTTAGTGGGGAGGATCTCTTCCATTTTTCCCTAATGTCGTCTTATCCTTTGTGTGAGATCGGCTCTTCTTATCATCAATATGAATCTATGTGACTGCGGCAACAAAAACGGCGTTGGTACGACCTGTTGTCCAACCGGTTGGTGAACGAAGATGCTTGTCTACAACAAGAACGATTGCTACTAGCACGGTTATTACTATTATTTCTAGCTATTCTAAAATCAATAACAACAACAGTCACAACAAAAGCAATAATAAGAACAACAACAACAAACGCACGTCGCATGCAGTTGACGACAATTGGCAATAGGTTCTGTAACAAACGACGATGGCGATATGCGGTAAAACTGTATGGTAAACAGCAGAAACTACAAAAGACGCGTAACAGCGGCCAACGGGCGTTGTAACAGGACAACGACGAATTTTTCTTATTTACGGCACAAAGGGTGATATTTGATGACAGTCATATTTGTCGAAATATGGCTGTAGCTTTTTGAGTCTGGCCATTTGCAAGCAGCGTGACTGCACAGATGACGGTCACGTACGCGCGTATATCGCGCCGCTGTTTCATGTGGATTATTCTAGGAGGTTCAAAGCATGTGTCGTTCCTCTACCATTTTACTTGCTGTTAAAAGGGCATGTTTTTTAAATGAATTTAGCACATTGTACGTAGATTGCGTCAGGTTGATAATGCTGCGGTGGATACAGTAGGTCACGCATAGGTTATCCTTTGGCTTGATTAAAAAAAAAAGAGTGAGATTTTTGAGATCCTGTGGCCCCGATAGGTCAATACTGGATAATCTTTGCTGTTGCTACACTTCAAAGATATATCGCGGGAAGCCATTTGATTACGGCAAGTCAGTGACGTACATTTTATAGCCTCAAGTTTGCTTTTGGTGCCGTTCAGTGTTTAATACCTTAGCCTGTCTGCGACAATTTCTCTGATTGTTTCGGTCACTCGTTTATGCATTATTTCTTTTTTCGTTTAATGTTCCTACTTACAGCTGCAGTTGTTACAGGCGCTGAACCGGAATATCAGGGCGGCTGATTGCCTTCGTTTCGTCAGCATGAACAGATAGTTTCTTTTTGTGGGCAGTTAATGTCGCCGTTGTTGCGTCGGCCCCTGTTGAAAATCGATGTGGTCATAAGTTAAAATTTAATTGCTCCGTTGAAAAGTTACTGTTAGATATATCTGTCTATTGTGCGTACCAGCAGTCATAAACCCCCTGGACAGTTGACCCCCAGACGTCGCATTCGCTGACTATCGGAAATGAGATATACAGTGGATGTGGCCGTGTTGATTCGATCAGATCCGGTCCGATTGGACAACACAAAAAACAATAACTAAGCAAAGTACGCTAAATGATACGTTGTCGCAAGCGACTTTTCTAAGAAACAGCAAGTTCCTCTCTAGCAAGCAATTGCATTTATTGCCCAACGTAATACCGGGTAGCTGGGCCTTGCCCAAACCGTAAAAATATATACACACCTAATACTTTTACTATATGCTTGTTAGCTTAAAGTTGTCCTGCTATTCCAGCCGTGTTTCTCGGCACAATCGAAAAAAGAAACACAGTATATATGACCAGAAACTGCTTACACAAACAGCTACACTTTTTGGTGCGATTTATTGACATTAAACTATCTAACCCTATGTGGGCCGCAAACGCAACCCGTTTCCCTATCTACAAGACCGAAGGTATACGAAAGAAGTATATCATAAATTCAAGTGCGTTCTATTACTAGCAGAGAAATAGAAAAGCTTTGCATAAACGTTGTTTCTTTGCGTAGTAGGCAATATACACGTATCTACGCCTAATTAGCTCCGATCATACAATTGAGATTCGTATGTAATAATACGTGGACAGTAACTATTGGACGGACAGTCGTTTTTCTTTATTATTACTATTATTACTTATGGATCGGTTGGGACGCGATAAAAATATGGCCCGTAAAACAGCTACTGATGTTATCAGTATCGTTGTCGTTCTTGTTGCTGACATCTATGAATACTTCCGATCTCTTGTGACGTTGCTTCATATTCCGCACGTGAACTTTCGCAGCCTTAAACAGACTGGTCTGAACAATACGCTGACGGGGTCCAGCCAACGAAATGGACGTACGGAAGACATAAATGACAGGAAAATACAGAGGAGGCGCACGAAAGAGAAAGGCTCTGCCATCGTACGGACTTGCTTTTATTTTAATATAGATTTATGTCCATTGACTGATCTTGCTCTGAGATAGATAGATAGATAGATCGATTGCTTGTGCTGAACAATTGGCGCTTTTTTTAATTATAAAATCACGTTTTGATTCTTGTCGATTAAAACCCTTGTGCCGACGACGTGGGGGAATATGTATATATGCATAGACGGTATGACGTAAGTAGTCTGTCATTCAATGTTAATGGCGCAGTTCAGCGTGCGGCGCTGCCACTGGTTCTCGTTTACCGTTTCGCTTAGAAAACGGTAATCTAACGTAAGATTTCGTGCGTAGCAGGTGACTATCCACAAAAATTGAGCGCAATACTGCTAGCAGGTCGGTGAAGATAAAGCACCTTGCCTGTGCGCGAACTGATGCCCTGAGTGCTCAGATGATAGCGGACTGAACTAAAAAAAAAAGTTCTCCGCAGTGGCAAACGATGCTCCCTTCAGAAGCTGCGGGTGATACTGCAGTTTCAATAGAGACAAGAATAATTCAAATGCAACGATTTCTATTGTATAATCAGCGGACGTATTCATCACGTATCGTGAAGCTCCGGCATTGTGGCGTGTTAGACGCAGGTTTAGCATCAGGACCGACGTAGAAGCGAAAAGTGAACAAGGTGACACGAATTGGTACAACAACGGGTATGTTCTACCGTACTAATGGTATCTATCAAAGGTCATCGTCATGACGTCACACCCGTCCTTCGTGCGTCACTCTCAAGGTCGCAGCTTAATTGTAATGCTTTCAGGTACCTGACCAACGAAAGTTGAGGCTAAACGCCACAGCAAGGTGTAGAAATGATTAACTATATAAAGCAACAAATTGACTTATCGTGGCTATTTTTGTAAGTTTTTTTATATGCGGGAAGAAGCGGCCGACCAAGGCCCAATTAGAGCACTGCATGTATATCGCAACAGGCTGATGACTTTTCTCTGCGTAATAACTTACATCTTGCTTGTGGCCAACCAGGATTACTGGACAAGCTGAAATAAAGTGAAAACAACTAGCAAAGTGGATACTATGCATTAAGGCTGTAGGCCTTTTATAACCCTATATACAAAAAATCAATGAACTCATGTCGATACTACATTGGACCTAAGGTGCTAGGCTAATTTTAATGTATTGTTAGCAAGCCAAAATTCAAGTCGGTCCATTATTGTTTTCCATGCAACAATTTCGTTATGCAATGGCGGCTGAAGTGTTAAGGTTTGTTTTTGGAAAGAAGCTATGTTTGCCGAAACACTTATTCCCATTATTTACCCTATTGCATCTTATTCCATTGTACGTTTTGAAGGAGCTGGATTCAAGCTTTGCATCTGACAAATCGTTGGCGTATTTTATAATAAAGTGAACGTAATACATACGAAAAACTATTATATATAGTTTTAATTAGAGTTATGCCAATAAAAGTTCCGTTCACTTCACAAGCTGAACGGGTCTCAACAGCAAACTAAACGTTTATTATTAATATTACTCAATCAAATAGAATACTCGAGATGATAACGCCTTCGGCGTTCTTTATCGAAGTAAAATTAATAGTATGTACATTTTTTTGCGAATATATTCTCAGGGTTTGTGTATGATTTACAAGCTAACACTAACAACGTCAGCTGACGTAGCGCCATCATATGTTTTAGTAAAATAATTAAAAAAATCCTACCCATCGATGTTGCCATTAACGTCCTACTACAAAATCACAACGTAATCGTTTCGAGAACTTGTCCTGCAAAAAGGTCACACATTTTACCTCGTTTTTGTCGGCCCGAGGTTGCCTGCCTACGATGTACCGCGCATGCGCAGCTGCGTTGTGTTCTCATGAATTAGACTAGCTAGTCACATATCTTTAGATAATCAACAACTTAATCTGCGGAGTAAGACCATAGGAAGATCTTGTTTATAACAACTAAGCAACCGCAGGATAAAGAGTATTTTTTTTTTATTTTTCAGAAGCAATATGGCCGTAATCATCAGCTTAGCTAATGTTGAGCAGTAGACTTTAGTACAGTTTGTCGAATCAAATTCTGATGCCGCAGTCTTGTTGAATAAGTACATTGCATTTAATCGTGTCTCTAATTTACAGGAAATAAATATACCTAAGGTAATCTTAGATAACGCGTTCGTGTATTTAGTTACTTAACAATTGTTTTAATTTATTTCACCTTGCAGGCATGCTCCATGGACACGATACGGGAACTACCCCAACGAGAGTGATCGATTCCCGGATGAATCTTAAAGGCAAAGTTGCCATGTGGCAACAGAAGGCAGATCAACACGCCGAAAAGCAAAAGTACAACTTCTTCAGTGAAAGAAATGGCTGCGGAGTTAAAAGGGTGCGTATCAATTATCTCTGTGACCCTTTATGGAATCGTATAACGGTATAATGTTAATTTCAGTCGTGCAGCTTCTATACCGTCTCAGACTATAGTCACCGCTATCTGCTTGCAGGGACTGTGTTCTTAGTAGCGTAAGCAATCGTTCTGACGAAAGCATGTCTGATCATTCTAACCGAGAGCAGGTAATTGACAAAAATGATCCGAACTATGGACGTCCAGAGGCTGGCTCTAAAACAGATCTTCGAGGCCAAAAGGCACAACGCGAGATCCTTAAGGAGATCCGCGAACTGTGCGAAATCATTGACGAAGTCGGATACCATAAAAAGGACGGAACTGTCATAATCGCTTTTGGACAACTCTTTGATGTAAGTATGAACCTGTGAGCTGGGTCCATGTTGCTTGCTTTTGTCGAAAATTAAATGAACTTAAGTATAATCGAAATAATAATTCATAGCCAAAGCATCGCCAGTAAACACAAAATGCATGAGGTTGTGTTGACAAATGGTGTGCGTTTCCTTGAAGTGCTCTGAAAGCGTGTATTGCAATCGAGCCTGCTTGCGCAGGTAACTGCCTGATAACGATTGATTCGAGCAAAGTGTTTGAACAAAGAGCCCGAACTATACACGAAGTGGGATCCGACGGTTCTTTAAGGGTGGTAGAGAAGCAAGAATCGTGTTTTTTTGTGGGCTTCTAGGAGAAGTAGCTTCCATGAATAACGCTACGTGCCAATACGACGTCTGAGTTATTTAGCCATTTTGGAATCTATTGGCAATACGCCTCGACAGTGAACGCTCCCTCCTGTCACATTCATTTCCAAGGGATGAACCTTCGCACATAGGTTAAGGTCTATATATAAAAAGCCTAGGCGAATAATAATATAATGAGCACTGTAACGTTGAAGCAGCTATATTTTCTAAAATAGGTTCTGCTTACCTTTATATTTTTAGATTATACAAAGCAGAGCAATAAACAGGCTTATAAAAACTGAGCTCTCTCACTATTTCAATAGTGGTCAATATAGTAAAAAATCAACATTTCGAAAAAGTATTCACAGCCTATAAACAAGAAAACTGTGTTTTGTGCCGACGCCCATATACATTGTATCTTCGTACCGTGTTGGAAAACTCAGACCTCGTGAACGTCCTCAACGCTATTAAAAATCTTCGAAAGCGAACCGGCATAAAAAAATTGCAGCAACACAAAGAACACCGAAACACCAACATAACAACTAATGTTTCGCATTAATACCCTTTAACACGGACTATAGCATACGACTTCAGCAGAATAATTATCTGCACACTATCTAACACAGTATATAACCGAACCACAGATACCGTTCGTCTGTGCAGCACAATTCAGATATTTACGGGGTATGTCCACATTTACCCACTCGCAACTTCGTAAGAAACATCTAGTGAAAGGCAGTGGCAACTGGAGAACTATGGGACCAGCAGCAATAAAGATCAGTCAGAGATATATAGGACTTGTATTCTAATCAGTTTTGGGGTTAGAAGGGATCAGCATCGTTCTAGAGGTAGACACAAGACAAATCAAGGCACCGAAGCTTATTGTCCTAAAAGACGGAAACAACACAGTCTTCACGGCATTGCATGACATTATTGAAAACCTGTCTAGTGCCTCATTATCACATTTTTCATCTCTTCCATCCTTTCTTCAGCATCCTTGTTCTGACATGCGGCCGTCAACGCATCTACAAGATCCGTTTCACCCTTCTATTTCTCTCTCTTTCTCCTTGGCCCTATCACCCGTTCATATTCACGACCAGCTGCTATACACGGTGGCAATCATGGTCGGCACAGCCCCTCCATCTTGCCCTCCGTTGGCTCCACGACTTCTTTGCTACAACAATTTCACCGGCAGCCGTTCCTATACAAAGACAATACCGTCAAGTGCCAGAGCTGTTGCACAGAGCCTGGTAATGCAAAAGCGGGTCTCAACAACTATAAAAGAAGTGAAAGAAAAGTTCCGAAATAGTGCATCCACCCCGTTCATTACGTGTGCTGTTAGCAAGCTGTGGCAGGGGCACAAGAATTGATAGTGACCACTCAGTGTTCTAGCTGGTACCCAGCTGAATTAGGTAGCTGGTATCCCGATCTGCCCACCTCTTCTCTGCTGGCTGACGAAAGACAACTTTTGCTAGTGGTCCAGCATGTACTATAGTATATAAGTATCTGTATGTATGTGTGCCTGTCCCTGAATTCAGGCTGCTAAGTGTCTATTTGTTTACGTGTTACTTTCGGGGGGCATTCTTCGTATTCCGCGCGTTCTGTCGATACAAGGCGCTAATACAATTCGCGGACTGACTGTCTGTTTTACTTGGCTGCTATCGACCAGTGACCGTTTCAGGGCCAATGTCAATGAACAGCGAGCAATGGCTAGTAAAGTGGGCTGCCAACGAAGATTTGGATGGGGTGACCAGCATGTATCGATCACGTGTTAGCAGAGCTGCTATAGCTGGCTGAATAGAGAGTAAACTTCGAAAGCACTTAGCACAATGCTAGGCTGTGACGCAGATAATGTCCCGATGAGCGTAGACTATATACGATGCCGCCTACTAATACTAGAATACTTCGTTGATCTGTTTATATTCCTTGTTGGCGGGGCTGTATGTGGCTTGGAGGACCGACAACAGTTGGTTTCCGTAGACAACAGAAATAGCCCAGTGCCAGTTAACGACATGTCGTGATTAGAAACACCAACAAGATGGGTTAATAGCGCGGATGAGGGAGCTTAATTGACAAAGACAACACATACGACCTGACGACGTTAGCGTGTCGCCGCTGACCAACTGGCAAGTGGCAAATTTTGTTGGGTCAAAATATAGCAATGGCATTGCTCACTACGTGATGAAACTGATTACTTAGTATATTGTAACACGTATAGCAATTTATTGTACTCTATTATCACTGCATCATTTACGGCTAGTGACACAAAGGACGGGCCTTGAGGGCTTTGTGTAAAAGTGAAGAACGATATGACAACTGATTATGAAGTGCCGGTGAAGAGATCAATAGTATCTGCTGTATATAGAAGTACTTGGTCTAAAATAAATTATGGTCTGGTGATTGCTTCATGCCAGGTCTTCAACCAGTCTGCTATAGGTATAAAGCGCGTCTATAATGGACATGATTTGAGCGGATGACGAGCTGGCAGCATGTTGGAACATGAAGATCGCATTGAGGTCGTCCTCTCCTAGTGGTATTTGACTAGCGAACGCGTATAACGAATGCCAGAGATTATCCCTGTACATTACACTTTTTTATGGCCGCACTAGATGCTGCACATCTTAGTTATTAGTAATATACATATATATTTATATATATGAATAAGTATCTCTTTTCTAATAATTCATCTTTATTAATAGCTAATTATATACTTTTGAATGCAAACGCTCGTAAATAATGTTAAATCTAAATTGAGAGAATGCAGCTTATGGAAAATTCTACTTAAAGGATGTGTCAGAAGCAATGACCCTCTGTATGCACACAGTAGATAAAGCCTAAATTCAAATAAATCGTTTTTAGCTACTAGCCGATTCTGGGTTTTTGAACAGTGGCCGACAATGAAACCATAATAGACACTATCTTTTTTTTTTACAAACAGTCAGAACAGATACAATGTGTAGAATCGCGTCTGACCAGCACCAGATACATAATCGTTAGTAAAAGCAGTCGTTTGTCACAAAGCGACCATGCTCGTTCTAAAAGATACAACCAGTGCGTCCATCAATAAAAGGTCTGGCCCGTAAGCTTCTCCATCTTCATTTTTTGCTTCACTTTTCCGAAAACTTTTCATTTCGACCTTTACGTGATCTAAGCATGTATACAATGGTAATAAACATGCAAACCTGTGCAATACTATCAGTGAAGACCTACTGGGCAGCACGCACAAGAGCCACCATGGGGCTCGCATCCTCTGCTTTCTTAACGCTAACAGTGTGGACGCTTATGGAGAAAACAGCGCACAAGCAACACTCACGATTCAATGGAGCTTTATACTCTACTGCCACTAGTTGTGTTGGGCCATTAAAAAACCAGCTAGAAACAAATGAGCTGATAGCATATGCAGTATCTGACCATATTGATTCTCAATTTTGGTCAAAGCGTCGTCGATCGGGTCGAAAGACGAATATAGCGACAAGCCCAAGCAGATGCCGAAACTTGTCGAGACTAGGCGATGAGGAACAACTAAGGCGAGCTCGACGTCACTAGCAAAATTAACAACAGCGCCAACGTTCGCAGAAGTAGCCACAGCGGCTAACGTAACGTATAATAATACTTAAGCATTAATCACGAACAATAACGCTAATGAATGTCAACCAGGTAAAAACAAAGGCTGCTGTTCTTTCATAGAACGACTGTCGGACGCTTCTCCACAACGCAATATCGTGACAACTATCAACTACACTGTTGCTGTTATCGGCGCCAGTATTTGACCCTCTGATGCCGCATTTCAAAAGATCTGGTCATTTGCAGCAAGGAGGAGGTGGCGGCGAAAATAATGCTACTGGGGCTAAGGCTCTCGTTCTATTTTTGGGTTCTATTGTTGTTGACTGGGGCAGGCCTCGGCATCTTGTGCAGATGCTGCGGTCGGTTAGCGGCTGCGTAGCACTACGACCAAAGGCGACTAGTCATTTCAACGAAGCGCTACTGGCTGAAGCAGGCACCAACAGGTCATCAAGCAGACAAGCACGTATAAAGAGTATGCCAAACCCGTTTTATGTCGTTGTAGTAGATCACGATGACAAAACAATCAATCTAAGCAGTAACAAGTAGATGAGGTCAGAGAGAAGGAATGCCACACAACGGGCGGCCTATAATGGAAGTAGCAACAATAACAGAGTAGGAGGCGCTCAGGGATGTAAAAGGACGTAGGATTAAACAACGAACGGAGGAAAAGTTGCTCCGAGCAAACTATTAGAGCTTAATTTTTGTTCTCTTTAGAAAATATGCAGGAAGCTCATTTAAAAATGTAAATAAGTTCTTCTATTTGTAAGAGTATAGTAATGTTAAGCTTTCATAAACTCTCACTTAAGGTGAAAATAGCGATCGAGAATAACAAGTTTAATTGTAATAGATTAGGCACAGTTGTAACTACTACAAACCTTAAGGAGGTGTGAGGTGGTCTAGGCTTCAGACCGGATGTAAGCAAGCGCACCTCGTTCTGCGCTGAAAGAGTCCGACAGCTGATTGAAGCAACTGAAGTGTACGTAGAACTGAGAACAAACTGAATAGACTCTGTATAGACTAATCTATAGCTAAATCTGCCCTTAGATGAGAGCCAGACTCGATTCATTTCTCTTACGAATTAATATCATGTTGTTCAGCATTAGGCTAAGATAAGA